ATCCTAATATCCCCATGGTATGAGAATATTAAAATTAAAAAAAAATCTCTTAACATGAATTGGATATCAAAGAGCAAAAATCTTCTTCATCACAAGGAATAGTAAGGCCCATATCATGATGAAATCCAAACTCTTCTTCTGCTCGTTGAAGCAAACTTTGAAACTCTGGCTGTCCTAACCATGCTATAGAAATGATGTATCTGCTTCTATTTTCACCAACATATACAACAAAATGCCCTTTCGGGACATCGTTTTTCTTGCCAAAACTTGAACATCTTTTCAAGATTTGCTTCAGTGCAGCTGCCTGAATATTTTTGCTGGTATTCCTTGGAGCCATTTCTTTGTATCAGTATAGTAAAGCGAAAAGATGGCAAAGGAATGTAATAACTTGAGAGGTGGCTGAGAATTGGAGGTTACCAGAAAAGGTAAATATATACACGGCTTGGGGTGGAGTGGGGTGGGGTGGGGTGAGCATATGAGGAATTAGAGAGTGAATGAACAAAAGCATGTGGCATGTAGGGGCAAGAAACTAACTGATGCATGGATGTTTTTTGGAGAAGCCAGTGTAGTACGACGACATGCGGGGTTCATAATGCCCTACATTGTTACTCTTCCTAGGACCACTTGCGTTCTTTTCTTGATGATCAGCATTGGATAACGTATCTGTTACTCATGCAAAGGGCACGTAAGGTTGTAAGGTCATATAAGGAAATGAATATACTCAGCACGTGAGATACGACAATATTAAAAAAGTAAGATCTCATTGTCGCATTCAATTTACAAACCATGAATAAATTATCACCTGAAAGTGTGAAAGTTCTAGTAGATGGGAAAAGGGTAAAATGAACTTAGAGTAATGCTACAGGTACATAAACATCTATATAAGGGTTCACATAATTACACGTGTCATATGATCCAACCTTTAATTCAAATTTCACACTTATACATCAACAAGTAGATGATTGACACATCGCCATTATGTGCACCATTATGTGCATCATTATGTACCTCTAGCATTATTCATGAACTTATAGACTCGACCCTATGTTTCTTTAGTTTAATAATTAACAAAATTATTTTATAAAGTTTACAATCTTATTGCAAATTCTAACTCAATTTCCGGGAAAACAATCATTCTTCATTATTTTTCCCTGAACAAGATCTCAGTCTGTTCATGAGAAATTAATTAAACAAACATAAGTGCAAGCCTATTTTATGTTTAAAAAAAAAAAAATTGCAAATTTTATTTAGTTTACATTTTGTTTCAATAATATGATTCAATTAGTCACAATATTTTGAAGTTCCAAAAATTACATTTGTCACGAATTATCTTATAAGCTCTAAAACCAATTAATGATCCAACTTCTTATCACCCAAATATATCTTTTCAACTCTTCTTTTGCGCCAACATATAGTTTTTTCAGAGATACTTCATAATATTAGGGAAAATTAGGATGGTGCTCCCAACCTTTTAAATGGTGTGATTATAAATTCTCAACCTTAAAAAAAATGAGAATCTAAGTCCCCAAATTATTAAAATTTGAAAATCTAAATCCCACATGACTAAAACCATCGATGTGGATATTAAGATCTCATATGACTTTCAATTGAATTAGAAAGAATTTTTAAGCGCTTTTTCCCTCCAACTTTAATCACATGAAACTTACGTGCGATTTCAGCATCCACACTAACAATTTTGGTCACACGAGAACCTAAATTTAAATATAAAGGAGACTCAAAACTCTCTCTCTTTTTTAAATGCAATTCATTCATCATCAAAGCGAGAAGATATGGATACAAGGAGGAAATTCCTCCAACACAATTCTCACCTCAGAGAGTTTAAGTGCTTCCTATGCAAAAGCATAATCTATCACAATAGCCATTCTAGGCACAAAAATAACAGACAAAGTGGAAAAGCCAAACATGCTCAATTCCAACATCAACCAAAGCTACAACCTCTAAATTGGCAATAAAACAGCCACCCCAACATCCTTCCTATTCTGCGCAAACAGCACGAGGAGCAGATCTGCCATAAGCTCAGCCATGTGATGAAAGTGGCCGGATGATTCCCAGCTAGAAAAACCGATCGTACTTACTGGGCTTGGACAAGACCCGCCAAAATCACATCCGGTATCTACCCCCTTTCACGAAGCCACGTTCCATCTTGTAGCTCCAAAACAACCCCACTGACCGAAAACCCCTCAATCCCAACCATATACCACAAACTCTGTATCAACATAAAGCACCTATCCAAAACTCGAACCAATGTCAAACCGGCTACCAAACGTTGAATAGACTGAGCAAATCCTTCACCAAAACAGAACCTCTACTGACATGAAGTCAAAGAGGAAAAGCTAGGTTCTCAAGAAAACCTAGAGAAAAACCTTACCTTTGCTTGCAAAGGAAGGACAGGGAAAAGAGAAGAAAAGTAACAAGAAGAAAAGAAACTGATAAAGTTGCCCGGACGAGCGGCACTTGCCGCTCGCCGGAAGCGAATCGAACCTTCTTTTTGCCTGGAAGATGAGAGTGTTTTATAGCATTAACAGTTATTAACAGGGAAAAAAATGCTTTTTCTCCTTTTTAATTGGATTATTAAACTTTAATTTGTCAAACCTCATTTTGAAGATCGAAAACCCATAACTACAGGTGAAAAAAACAAAAAAAAACAAAAATTGAAGATCGAAAACTCAGAACTACAAGTGAAAAAAAAAAAAAAATTGAATAGTTCAATCCAAGTTTTCTCGCTAACATTATGCCATGATGAAAAGAGGGGAGTACGCTCTATGAAAAGAGTTAATTATTATGTTCTCCAAAAATAGCAATCAAACGCTTCAAAGTAGGAATGTAAGTAAAAATGTAATCAAAGTGGTTTTCTCGCCTATTAAAAAGAGTTCCACCAAGCTAACAGTAAAATATACAANAGACAACTCTCCCAGCATCAAAGTTGTCCAAACTCTAGCACAATCACACAAATACAACTGCCCATTGCTTGGTACCACTGGTTGCATCTTAAGTAATGGTGAAACCCGAAAAGATTTAGATTCCAATCTCCAACCATGGGAGAATACTCTCTTGATTCACTGGTATGTTCTATACACACTACTGAACACGATGGCACATTACAATTTTACTTTCTGTTTCTTCATCAAAGTGACCTATCAAACATGCTCTAAAAAGCAAGGCAAGGACCATCATGGTTGATAATAAGGGCATATTCAATTTGTGAGAATGTCACCATAGTACGAAATCTAGCATGTGAAGGCATGTTACTCTTGTCCTCAGGCTTATTCTACTAAAGACAAAATTATGCAAGGCTGCTACGAGCAATCCCAACTCAAATAGAATTCCACCTTAGTTGCTAAACTAATAAAATCTTCAGCATGTTACTCTTGTCCTCGGGCTTATTCTACTAAAGACAAAATTATGCAAGGCTGCTACGAGCAATCCCAACTCAAATAGAATTCCACCTTAGTTGCTAAACTAATAAAATCTTCAGCATGTTACTCTTGTCCTCGGGCTTATTCTACTAAAGACAAAATTATGCAAGGCTGCTACGAGCAATCCCAACTCAAATAGAATTCCACCTTAGTTGCTAAACTAATAAAATCTTCAGCATCGACAACGCTATTTTGCCAACCAGTAGAAAATGCCACATCTCATGCGCATATGAAACAAATCTGCAATAAATGCTTCATATAAAGCCGAAATTCATCAATAGTCCATCACCTAACGGGATACCAAGCCCTTGTTTGCTACAGATTTTTTAAAATTCATTTTTCCAAAACTCATTTTCAATCACATTCTCCCAATAAAATAAGTTTGCACGTGGACCCACAACTGATCCTACTTTTTAACCATACGTTCTTCAAAAATATCTTCTTTTTTTTTACAAAATATATACCTAAAAAATCTACATCTAACAGGCCCTAAATATTCTAACATCTGTTTCTTTGAAAAAATTCAGTTTTCAACAAATGGGGAATACAGAGAAGATGAAGGTCACAACCATATTCTAAACTAAGCTACTAAAACCTGCAAAAATACAACGAACTCCCCTGAAACAGTGGGCAGAGAATGTGTTTTTAAGTACAAAATAAGGTTTTATTTATATTCGATGGGTGTACACTTGCGTATTTAAAAGGAGCTCAGATTCTTATAAAGCTGAAATTATCTCATTTATCAACATGGATATATAAGGTTGTTAATAATGTGAATCATGGACTCTGAATATTACCGTAAATAAAGAGCTTGGATACTGGTCCAGCCATGGCTTCGGTAATGGATCGAAGGACTCGTCCATTTGGAACGCAATTAGGGGGCCTATCACCACTACGTTCGCTACTGATATCTACTGGGAAGTGCGTCAATTGGTTTATTCTATGTAAGGTATGGCTCCAGCAAGTTGGTTACACCAAAGAGCATCCAAGATTACAACAGCATTGTCTCAGGATGTAGAGTTCTCAAAACTTTTAAGTAAATCACTCGTTTATCCAGAATAAACATGGGAAAAAAAAATAAATGGTGGAATTTGTTAGATGCAGGACATGCAACATTAGCATGTCTCATATGGCAATTTTTATCTATTGCACCGTCTAGTTGGAACAATACTGTGTACAAACATACTCTTAGGGCTTATACACAAAACCGAAAAAAAAAAGTGTCCCCACCACAAGCCTAATTACCATGCTACACCTCTCATAGAGGTGCAACTTACTGAGATCATATGAATACATTCACTGCTGGTCAAATATAATGCAATCAAGATACCTATTATATAGGCAAGTTTGTTTTCAATTAATTGAACTTGTCTCGACAAGGTAATAATCAACTAGGTAATACAAGCCGCCACTTTAACGTACAACGTTACTGTCATGGTATGTTTTGAAAATAAGAACCTCGGTAAAATTCATCTGATACTACTCCCTTCATCTGCTGGAAGGTCCACCAAGCGAGTTGAGCTGGCAGAGGATAAGGCAACTTTGCCAAACAAGCACGCCAAACTAGATGTTGGAAGCATTCAATGCCATAACCTTGCACTGTTCATTCATGGCCACGAGTTGAGCCTCTTTCTTGTCAAGAAGAGTAGTGAGCCTAACGTTCTCCTCCATAAGTTTCTGGACCTCAACTTCCTTCTGTATCTTTTCACTTTCCAATTGTGATGTCTTAACGACAAGTCTGGTTGAGTTCAAACGAGACTAATCATAATAAATTTCCCAAAGACTCCAATACAATCATCAATGTTTATGCACAGACTAATAACAATACCAGGACATAAAACAAGTTAAATATCTAAAAAGATTGTTACAGTTTAACTGTCAAATACATACACTCCTTCTGTCGGTACCTCGAGTATTGGACACCGATATGCCTCCAACACGCTGAACCACATGCCCAACAAGCCATGTGGTGTCCTAACTTTTATATAATTTTTAAATTCCCAACATGCAAAGAAAAGCCCTGACACACTTCTAGTTCTGGCACATGTCCTACATGCATTGTGGTGTTCTATATTTTCAATTTTAATTTTTAATGCAAGAAATATGGTATGAACATGCAAGGACACAAGTAGACGCATTTTGCAAATTTGGAGGACGGAATTAGCAAAATTCTAATCCTTAAAGGCTTAAACACATTCGTGTCAAAAATCAAAATATCGTGAGAGAAATTGTATGAACTTCAACTCAATTCATTTATATCTACCACAGCACTTCCTGTTCCATGAATATTTTAATTTCTTAGGCACTGGAAATACAAAACAATCTGAATTAATAAATAATCGCTCCCCAAAATCAAAGATTGCAAGTGCAAAATTCAATTGAAAGAACAAAATAAAGATGTAAATATATAATTTCAAAATATTTTTAACAACTTGTCTCCAACCAGTCTGATCCTTTGTTTCGAATATGTGTGTGTGTCCCCTGTTCGATTTTGTGGTTCATATGTGCTAACTATAGCCACTCCTTTCATTTATCTAAAAATTGGAAAACCGGAAAATAGTAACCACTTCTTCATTTATTAATAGTTCCATATCTAGCATATAAAACAAAGATTGAAATGAAAAATGTATATTGTTTTTGCCAGATAAGGGAGTTTTTTGTAATTGTTTAAAAAGAAGGGGTGTCAGTGTAATAATCGGATACCTCATCATATTTGAACAAAATATATATATAGAATTATACTTTCAGTTTTAGTAAGTGTATGCAAATCATCACTCGTAAAAACTATTCCTGCATCTAGAGAAATTCACAATTTTTAGGACTCCTTCATGCATCTAAGCCGTTAAACCTACTCGAGGAATTGACAATTATGGTAAATCATTCATGGGTATTTGCATTTATATGCATGCAAAAGATGTAAACTTTTTACACACAAATAAGTTGACACTTGACAGAGCAGCTTAATATCATGACAAGAATTCACCAAAGCCATTAAACCTACTCGAGGAACACCATACTGGTCATACTTTATTCATGAAAACGGCCAGGATTGGTATAAATCCTGATACAGCAACATCACTCCATTAGATCAAATAAGAAATCCAATCTAGTAAGTACCACGTGTCACAGTTGAGAAATTTAGTGGTCAAGATATTTAATATTCTATTACTTTTTACAGCATCTTCTATTTTGGCAGAGTGCGGTTACTCTTTCTTACCAAGAAACCGAAAGAAAACTTAAAGTGGAAGTACGGATAAATCCACAAAAGTCTAGAAATTCATTTGGCCAATTGAAGCTTCCTGAACGGTTTCTTTTCAAAAAACAAGAGAATTAGTGCCAAAGAAAAGGCCTAGGAGACAATGGGTCTCCAATAAATGAGGAAGCAAGAGATAGAAAGCGAAAAAACTTCCATTCTGAAGAGTCTCTTCAACATTATTCTGAATCGGTTCAATATAAATTGGTATTGTTTCCATCACAATTTTTTAGAGAAAAAGGATCCTTACGAAATTGATGTAAAGGAAGAAATTTGAGTGGATGCAAAGCAAATAATACACGATGTATTCCACTTTCAATTTAAAAATCATACTATTATGCACAAGATAAAAGTAGCTATCTTTCGTAATTAACAATCTATCATCAAAATATAGCGTTCCTCCCTGCCTAACATATTTCCTCCGAGAACTAAGCGTAATACTTTATGATTTATTATCCCTTATAAAGGTCAAATGTGAATAGCCATGGTTAGAGGCCTGCACCGACGGCACAAATATTACCAGAACTTTAACCCATCATATATTATGTGGTGACCAAAAAATAGGCACTCCACCTATCCAATCCATACCCGGTCGAATGGACAGCGTTCTCAAGGTTTTCTCTCTTACCTTCAAATGAAAAAGTACTTTATCTATCGAAAACAATAGAGAGAATTTTTGGTGTTCATCAGTAAATTTCCTATCTTTTCTTCCTTACATTACTTGTTAGTACAAGGATAAAATTCAAGGCTCAAATGTCTAACAATGATGATACACCATCCATATGTTGTTTATCAAAAGGATATTTTGTGATTAAATTAACTATAATGGGTGTGTCCTGGGATTGTCAAGTTCTATAATGCTTCTTCTCTTTGTTCTGTTTTCTTTGTTCAAACAAATGGTAATTTATAGAGATTAAAGATAGATCAGAATTTTACAGATACCAAAGGTTCTTTTCACTAGCAACACAACTCATTCATAGTCAAAGCTTCGACCTTGTTCACTTTGTCCCCACTGAATCGATTTCCAAAAATCCCAAGCATATACTTCTATTAGTCAGATTTTTTCTCAGGTGAAGAAAAGGCAGGGTGAAACTTCATAGGATGAAGAAAGACTCAGCGGAGGGGCATTTTTGGGTTACAATTAATTGACTAACCAGTTGAAGCTTTTATAAAGAAAAATTTAAAAAGAACGTTTTTCACTTCCTCGCTATTTTGCTCCTTCGATAAATTCTTCTATTTTCTTCTGATATAAACTACTCAAATGACAACCTACAACTGAAGAAGTTGCAAGCAGAAATCTATAGCTACAAATGAGACAACAAAATTAAAGAAAAGAAAATCAAAATACAACTTGTCATCACATGAACAGGAGATATATTGCTATAAAAAAGTTGATTAGAATTCCATAAACATAAACTAAAAATAAAAAATACTGACCTTTCAAAGAGCTTCTCAATAGTCTGAAATTGCTTTTCTGATGAAAGAAGTGTTTCCCTTACATTAAGCAGACTACTGACATAGGTTTTTAGAGATTCGAAGTCTTGCTTAACGCGACAGAGCTCCTGTTCATTTTCTGCAGCTCTTTCCCTTTGTCTAGACGTTTCTTCAACCAAATCTTCAACCCTCTGTCGCATTTCATTTAGAATACAATTAGTGCCTAGTGCCAACTGCTCCATCTCCTGCAATTTTAAAGACATATTTTCAACTTGGAGGGTCTTTCTTTTAATTTCTTCCTGCCCTACAGTCACCTTCTCCTTCTCATTAGCAGCTTCAGATTCTGCGACTATAACCCTCTTGACAAGGTTTTCCATCACATCTCCAACCATATGTACACTTCTGAATAATTCATTTATATAAACTACATCATCTTCATCAAGTGAACCATGATGACTGCTAAGTGCAGTCCATGTTTCCTCATCGGGACTGTCAAAGGAAGACAGATCTATATTTCTCGACAAGACAGGCAATGGTACATCATTTTCATCTACAAGGCTTGTGCCATCTAGTTCTTCGATACCACAAACAATATGAGCCATATGGGGAACAGCCATGATTCTGGCTTTCGATTTCAAGTATGTCAATAATGTCGCAGCAGTTTTAACTCTACGCCATAGGACACCTAATTCCTTCTTTGCATCCTTCTCTTGCAAGACATCCATACAGGACTGGCTTCTCTCCATCTCCTGCTTCCAATCAATGTGGATTTGGTTTAATTGCGACTTCAAAGCAGACAAAACAACATATTCCTCTGCGTCCATTCATTTTCCAAGTAATGCATGGAGAATTAGGAAGTTCGGAGATATACCAGGTATAGACTCTTTAAGAAGTACAAACCATAAAATTGTATTAAGCATAAACAAGAGTTTCAAATTTTCAATTAACAGATTGATATGGTACCTTCATAGTCTCTTTGGAGACTGTGAATGGTCTCTGGTAATTAAGAAGTAAATTGATTGAACTCAAAACTTATTACTGCTGGGTAATTTGATTCTAAGTGATGAGAGGGTATATGTTACAGGTCCCATAATAAGCAATTACACACACATTTCAGTGAAATAGTCACAGGCTTCAAAATGTTTAAGTTGTAGTTTGTTTATCTTTCACAAAGAGCTTTAAAAAGATTGGTAAGTTAGTGGTAAAATGAATACAATTGAGTTATGCACCATCATAATCATAACAGCAAAGACACTTGAATAAACTTTTTTATATTCACAATGAGAACGGGAAAGATTGGGTTAGGGTGTATAGTAGCAACATGTTTTGACTTAAACGTCATAAATATAAAAAGATATAAGACTGCTTCATCAGGTCAATATGGGTAGTATAGATCAAACTTAAACCTCAAATGTCATAAAAGTTAAATGGACAAGATTGAGGCATGTTTTGTACATGATTCTCTACACAGTTGGACACTACAATTGGCCAAATAATAGCTGTTGCTATTTCTTAATACCGTCAAATGTTGCATATTTTACAGCACAAGTTGTGAATGTTTCTCACTCTCAGTAAAGAACTTAGTGCGTGAAACTTCTTCAAAAAATTCAACTTTACTTCTAGTTTTCTAAATGGTCCCTTTATGCGTGAAATCCCAATTCTGAGCCACAACATCATGCACCAGACTTCTAAAGGTAAAAAGTTCAAACGCAACCAAGAGTTTAACATGAACGAGAGAGTATTTTTTTTCCCCAGAAAAGAAAATAGATTATCAGGCACAACTAACTACCAAAAGTAATATAAATGACGTCGCAAATTACAGGACAAAGACGCACACTTGGCTGAACCCTAAACATAGTTATTTAGGCAAATCAACGAACATAAAATACAAACAAGAATCTCGAACCTATATATTTACACAGTTTTAAATGTTAAATACACAAGTTTCATAAACCCATAACGAAAAATTCTAAATTTAGTCAAGAAGACAACAACATTTATACAAACATCAAGATCCACGAAAGGTGAAGATACAACATTTCAAGAAACTTTACAAGAGCCCACGATCACAACTACAAAAATAAAATGCAATATTAATTCACACACAAAGGGCAGAAAACTGATTGGTTTCACACAAAATGCTAAATTATAGCAGATCCATAAATCGCAATTGAAAAGCAAATGAAAATTTGAACACAAGCTACTCCTTTAGTACCGCAAAAGAAAGAGAAGAAGGAACCTTTTGATTACTGAAGAATTAGGAGCTCCCAATTATTCACTTTAGGAGGAATATCACAAGAATGATGATGATGGTTCTTCTTCCTATTTTCTTTACTCCGATCTCTTACAATAAAAATAAAACTGAAGGAGTATTTAGAAAGTATAGGTATATTCAAACCCTTCAAAAGTCTTGAATATATCCTTAATTTTGTTATATTATTTGTCTTTTACTTAATTTTAATTTTAGATGGAATAAATTGTTTTGATTTAAAGAAATTTATTTTTTTATATTTATGTACAAATTGATTTTATCTTCATCATATTTTGGTGATTTTTTGAGTTCTCATTTTTCAAAAATGAACAAATACAATCTATATTATTAATTACAAAAAGAAACTAAAGGAATTTTAAGCCATGATTTATTTATTTTTTAGTGGAGGGGAGAAATTATTTTGAACAATTATACCCATCACACTACACACATTTATCACGCGTTTGTCGTGTCTCATTTATCGTCTATTTACATTTTTTCCATTTAGAGGGATATTGTGTACACAATGCTTAAAGGTTGCAGACACGTGGTGGCAAAAACTAGAGGTATTAATCATGGATATCGCGCTTAAAAAAGATTGGGACTCTATAGGAATTTACCTTCATTTTCTAATTAGTTTATGATAAAATTAAAATATGAAATAATTAAACAAACCCTGTTTTTAAATGTAGAATTATATTTAACATCTTGTTGTAGTTTATATATTTATAAATACGAATTTTCATTTGTAAGGTTAAATTTGTGTTAATTGTAAAATTTCATTTTCAATACACCTACAAGATCAACTACTTATTCGACCAATCATTCTATCTATTTGTTGATTAAAGCGTTTATAAGTTCTTCTCGAAAAGAGGCTTATATATGTATACATAATATATAATTAATTCTATACTAATTTATTATCAAATTCTTCAACAAATTTTAGGTTTAAATTTTCACTAACATGCATATTTGGAATTGTGTATGCACAAATTCTTTAGGTATTAATTTATTATTAAATGAAACAAAGTAAAATACAAGTAATTGAAGAAAATTTCACCTTTTTTTTTTACAAGGACATTTTAGGTATATTAACCTAATTTTAGATGACATATGGCTCAAAAAGTGGCCAGGGTGTATATGATATTCTAAATATAAACATGGGAGGTTAATGTGACTATTTACATGTGAATGGACGTATCTGATATTGTCATGAAGTTCAGAATATGCTTATATTATTGTCTCAAATTCATAATATACTGATTAATGTCTTGATGTATTTTTTTGTACATCTCATACTATGGAGGGCCTTAAGACGAGTTTCAATCGGGAAGTGTTCATAAACAATTTAAATTAAACGAGTAAATCAAATTTAGTGACAAGTGCTAATAGAAAAAAAAATTAATTTAGTCACAAGTCATAACCGATTCACGTGTCCTAAATGGATATATTAAATTGAAGTGAATTTCGAGCTTCATATCACCCTTCTCTTAAAAGAGGGGGTCAACGTTTACTGTTCATTATTGTCACAGTAGTTTTCACATTTGAAGCCGATTTTAAACTGATTTGGGTGTTATTATTATTTTAAAACTTCAATCTGAAATCTAAACCTTTCTATCATCGTCTACCACTCTTCAATTCATTCTACTATGATTCCAATTTTTCTCTCCAAAAATTCTCTCCTTCACAAACAGGTCCACAAATGGGGATGAATTCAGCATTGTAGTTCAGCTAGGTCGGAGACGTTGACTGGTGATATTCGACCGTTGACCGATCAACCATCGTAATGGCCGAAAATATAATTCAATACATATGTAAATGCACTAAAACGTAAAAAGTATATACATATGAAAATATAATTCAATACAACCCAAAATACTAATAAAAAAAATATACAATCCTACTCTATAATTGTAAACTTAGACAACTACATTCTATGGGATCTCATGATTCATAATCATAAATCAGCTCAGAGTACGGTAACCAAGCTATCTATCAATTAGAAAATCTAAATTAAGTCCACCAATTTTCAGAAACAAATTGTAGAACTCAAAAGTAGTCTCAATCATTCAAATTTTCTCTCTTTTACTCCTGAAAGTGTAAAATATTGTCTCTTCATCACAGATAATAAACAGATGTACATCATAGGTGGAATATGAACAACCATTCATGCAGTTATCCAATAGGCCAATACAAATGTAATCAAAACGCATATTTTCTGTAAATCCTAAGAATAGAATAGGTATAGAAAATGTCACCTCATGGACAGCTAATACAAAAATCAGTAGTGCATCCAAATTCTGGCAATCCAATTTCTCAACATATAACAAAAATCCCACACAGGAAACCCAATTAAAATGGTATTTAAAAAATACAGTAGAATGACACCAAAATATCGACAAAATTCAAAACAAAATCCAGGAAGTATCAAGTATAGATAGAGGGAGACTGGGAGAGAGAAACTTATGAAGAAGAGATGGAAGTGAAGATTTTAGGTTTGTGATTCACCAGGCTACAGTTGGCAACTGTTGAGCTTGCTTTGGCAGTTGGCACAGCTCCTAAATCACCACCATCCACCGGTCTCGTCGATCGGCGGCATCACAGACAGCAGGTCAGCACTTCGCAATCGCGTAGCGTATTTTTTTGGATAATGCTTGTTGTACATAAGGGGGTACATAATGTGATCTGGCAGTCATCCGGTAGTTGATATGAAAGTGTGAAATTTGAATTAAAAGTTGAATATGTGCCACATATAATTATGTGAACCATTATGTGAAAATTTATATACCTCTAGCAAAGTCCTATTTTTTTTGGTCGTCTCCTTCCTCTGCCGGTTTTCAATTTTGGAATTGGATTTGGTTTTGTGGCTAATGGATTGCAACTTGCAATTGCAAGCAAAACCCATGGATTGGGTCCATTCATTGGACCTTTTTTTTTTAAGAAGGCCAAAACAATAAGAAAGGGGAAAAAAAAATTCACTCCAATGGCCCAGGCACCCATTCTTGGCGGTTGGCAGCGTCTTCTTCGTCATTTCTTCTCCATTATTATTGTACATCTATCCATTTAAACACACTGAACATTACTCCTAACAATCCACTGAATCCTATATATTTATACATAAATAAGCCTCTGATTTTTCTTTGTTATGCAATAATCATATCCTAAACTGTGTTCTATGTTATAATAATAATAATAATAATAATAATAATAATAATAATTGAGAAGTATAGAAAAATCTAATTAAAGTTTGATGAAAAAAGAGAACATAAAAAAAATAAGCATGATAGTCTTTAAATTCTTTATCTTTCTCGTTCGTCTATAATCAATGCTAGCATTATAGCAATATATTTCTCGGGCCGAGAAAGCGCAACTGCTTGGTGTTGCATATTAGAACTCATTAAAGCCCGCTAACATTTTTTTTTCCTGAGCTTAAAGTATTACTCTCATGTCTTGATCAGGGGCGGACCCACGTGGTATCATGTGGGGTCAAATGACCCCACAAAATTTTGGATTTTTTTTTTTTTT